AGAACGCTCCAGCCGTGGCAAAAGAACGCTCCAGCCGTGGCAAAAGAACGCTCCAGCCATGGCAAAAGAACGCTCCAGCCGTGGCAAAATAAATCTCTAGCCGTGGCAAAAGAACACTCAAGCCGTGGCAAAAGAACGCTCCAGCCGTGGCAAAAGAACGCTCCAGCCGTGGCAAAAGAACGCTCCAGCCTTGGCAAAAGAACGCTCCAGCCGTGGCAAAAGAACGCTCCATCCGTGGCAAAAGAACGCTCCAGCCATGGCAAAAGTTCCAACAATTTGAAACACTGTTTAGAGAATTCCAAGCTCAAGCCGTCAATTGTTGTATCATCGCTGGCCCAGGGCCCGCTAGATGTTTCAATTAACTAATTATAAGAGGGTTGTCGTGCGCTAAAGCCTATGGGTAGATTATAAGACAAACAGTTTGTGTTTATACAACGGTATATGTAAGCTTTAATTATTTGAAGATAAAGAGTAGACGTTAGATGTTTCAAACTGGTTGACATGCAACTCTAATAAATGACGATTCCCTAATATACTGTTAAACTTAATTTTCTCTAAATAACCTCTTACCAAGGTGGTCTTAACTTCTCAACATCAGACCCCCTATTCAAAGAACGGAGTCGTACTGACGGCTTACATGCAACCTCCTCTGCCATTTTCAAACCCGAGATGAGCTCGCTGACGATAAACGTTTACAAGCACTGAATGCACACAGTATAATTAATTTGGTGTAAACGCCCTCACCGCATCTCATAACAACCGTGCACACACCTCTACACACGATACGTTATTACACACGATAAGTTATTACACACGATAAGTTATTACACACGATAAGCTATTACACACGATAAGTTATTACACACGATAAGTTATTACACACGATAAGTTATTACACACGATAAGTTATTACACACGATAAGTTATTACACACGATAAGTTATTACACACGATAAGCTATTACACACGATAAGCTATTACACACGATAAGTTTTTACACACGATAAGTTATTACACACGATAAGTTATTACACACGATAAGTTATTACACACGATAAGTTATTACACAATATAAGTTTTTACACACGATAAGTTATTACACACGATAAGCTATTACACAATATAAGTTTTTACACACGATAAGTTATTACACACGATAAGTTATTACACACGATAAGTTATTACACACGATAAGTTATTACACACGATAACTTATTACACACGATAACTTATTACACACGATAAGCTATTACACATGATAAGTTTTTACACATGATAAGTTATTACACACGATAAGTTATTACACACGATAAGCTATTACACAATATAAGTTTTTACACACGATAAGTTATTACACACGATAAGTTATTACACACGATAAGCTATTACACAATATAAGTTTTT